TGTCCAAGTCCTTCATCTTTCTCGCTGTGCGTGTCTCTCTTATATGTGCTTTTCCAACTTCCCAAACATGTTATAATTCCGTTTTTCTGTTAGGTCTGTGTTTCTTCAGTTCCTTCCGTCCTGACAGCCCCACTCCAAACTTTCTGTTGCACCCATACACCGCCCTCGGTGACTCTTGCTTCTTCTCCTTGTCTTGTGTTCTCACAACTCTTTCTCTGATAGAAATGAAGTCTATACCTTTTTCTCTGGCTCGCGTATAGGCAGACTTGCTTCTTTCCCCTCATGTGAGCTCTTATTCTCACTCAGTGGCACTCGTTCTTGCTCCTTTCTGTGGCAAGGCTACTCCCACAGGCACTCCTCTGTCCCTAGACTGCCTCCCTTTTTGTCTGAAGTCTCTCCCTGTGCTGCTTCTCCGTCTGCCTCACGCAAAATCTCCATCAACGTAAAAAAATCACTTTTCTTCCCGTGTTCACTTTGATTCTAATCTCTCAGTTTCTACCAAAAGTTTCCTTTGCCACATGCAGTCCTCTGCTTGGCGTGACACCACACACGCAACACCACGCACCTCCAGCTTCTCTCTGTGGCTTGCATCTCTCCAGAAAGTTTAGTCTTTTTACCCCATCATTAAGGTCTCTTCTCCCTCATTGTTAACCCTGGTCTTGTCTCTTCTGCTGTCACCTATTCTGTAGACGCTCTTGTTTGTTCCTTATCACACGCGTGTATCTCCCCTTGTGTTTGATTGTAAGCTCTTTGTGGCAGCAGACTCATGTCTTCTGACATGTTCACGCAGTGTATAGCATGCTGGAGTCTGGTTTCCAATTGTGAGATTCTTAGAACATAAGTATTAAAGTAACAAATTTCAGAGCGCGCACTGAAATTTTTATCTTTCCTTTGCTCGTGTCCTCAGCTGCCTTTTATTGATGAGCAGAGGAAAGCAGTGTGGAAGAGAGGAAGTTGCTCTCTGCATCCTCTCCAGGCTTCACAGGCTGGCCCCCTGCAGGGTATAGGGAAGAAATTCCAGAAACAGAACTTTCTCCTCCCACAGTAGTCTGCTTTGCTGGCATCTGGCTCTGCTGGAGAGACGGGCGGCAGATGGAGCTAGTGTGGGAGGAGAAAAAGATTGGTTTAGTCAAGTGGAATATGAACAGGAGGCCAGCTCCAGTCAGAAGGAGGTTTTATGAGGAAAGAAGGGAAACACTGTCATTTTTTGCCACCTCTTCCATATGGACAACAGCACATTTTGAGGGCAAAAGATAATACAGGGAACAAGAAACGTTGATTGGTGGAATGAAGTGGTGCCTGTGTGATGAGGGTACATATTTTTTCCTCTTGAAATATGCCATCTCTTGTTCTTCCTCCCTGCCCTTCTGAAACAGTGTGTGTCACATGCCAGCTCCCCCCAGTTTTTTTTCCCAGTCTTTGAGCCACAAATTGCTGGGAGTTAGGAGGATGTTCCAGGGAACTACTTTTGCATTGAAGAGTTGCTGTAATCTGGGACTTTCCCTTAGGCCACTGCTTTTGACCGCTGTCAGTGGCAGAGTTCTGGGCTAGATGGACCTGAGATGTGACCCAGAACGGCCATTCTTGTGCTTAAATCGTTTGGATAGCACTGAAAATTTGCTTCTTTTGTTGGAAACAGCAAAGGCTAAAACGCATGGGAAGTCTGAGGCAATGGACTTGGCAACAGCATTTATGTACTGTGCCATACAATTCTGTGTGTCAGCACAAGTGCTTAAGACAGTTGTACTTGATAGTAAATTGTGAAAAATTATGAGAAATTTATTTCTCGTGGAAAATAGAAATAAACAGGCGAAGTAGAGTTCAGGAAAGAAGCAGTGTACATTTAGTTGAATGAAATGTCACTGAACAAATGCTTAGGATGGTTAGGAAGCAGATTTTTTTTTAATTCTTTTTTGTCTCTGAATAATGTATAGATAATACCTGTTGAATGTTTTAAATTTGGAGATTGTTTATTTCCTCTTGTAATTTTATTTCATTTAATCTGAATTCCTGGGCAATGAACAAAAATTGTGTAACAATATTGGCTTGTTTGTTTCAGTGCACGTTTGTTAGGCTGTGAGCCAGACAAATTCTTAAGAGATATGTAATTCTAAGATAGTAAATGAAATATTGTTTTTTAAAAGAAAAACAGAAAGCTGAAGTTTACAAGCTGTTACGAACAGTACTGTTCTTCCTTCTTTGTAATTGTATTGTCCTTCTGTAAAATTTATTTTAGCCAAATGTCTACATGGATGAGGTCCTAAAGCTTGCAATGATAGCTGAGTTGTAAATGCTGAAACTTATTCATGCATATAGTGTTTTATGTAATAGACCTAGCTGAGTATGATTCAGAACAGGTAATACTGGACTCTGAGGGCCCGCACTTACTCTCTGAGTCAATGAGAGCTTTGTGATAAAGCTGCATGAGAGATGGCTGTAAACTGATAGTTTAAGTAATCGTGCTGAAGTTTGATTCACATGCTCTTACTTGTAGGAGGATTTTAGCATTAATTTTCAAAGTTTACTGGCTACCAGTGGTGTTTTGGTGAGCACTTTGTAGCTGTTCTTGACATCGTGAGAAAAACTAAGGACTAGACTGTTAGCACCTTATTCTCAGTGCTGAATTATTGGTATAGAGTTGTAACATCAATAAGTAATTCCACTAACAGAAGAATATCTGTCAGTGTGGAGTTTTTCTGCTATTTGCTACTAATGGCAGAATAGGGACATACCAGTGTCCATCACTGAAGTAGTGAATGGAATAATAGGTACTAAAAAGAATATTTAAAATATAAAATTGAAACAAGCGGACACAAGATCTTTTGTTACCAAAAAATTGATAAAGGATGGTGATATTCTGAGGCGACCATGTTTGTTTTTCCTCACTATAGTAATAATTTCTTGTTTTGCTCAAGGATAACTCCTTTGGGTGATACTGGGAATGTCTACACGTGGTCTTTCAGAAGCATCACCCATATAGATTATATATTTATTTATATATTTTCCTAAAACCAATCATTGTTTACTGTTTGAGCTGATATTACCCTGTGAGGTGGTGTTCTAACGTTATTCAATATTAATCATAAATATTATGAATATAAAACAGTGCCACCGTTTTGTTAAGGGGAAAAAAAGAAGTCGTTGAAACAGAATCCCTTGGTCAGAAGGCAAGATCAGCAGAACGTAGAATAAGATTCATCTCAGATCTAATAATGCATATTTTTACTCCCATGAGTAACTGTATCCAGCTGGTTGTGTGAGTAAAGACTGTTGAGCAAAGAAGTGTTTGTAGTATCACACCCAGTTTAACTGCATCCATGATGTGGGAAATGCTTAAGACAAAGCGTGCTTCATCATCTCTTTCCAAAAGCAGACATTTCTGCTCTATTTTCCTTCTTTTAATGTTAAATATATAGTCTTGAATCCCTTGGGGAGATTTTAAAATGACTCTTATTTTAGCGTGAGCAACTCTTTAAAACAATACAATGTTTTCTCTCCTCCAATTTTCGGATGTGTGACAGTCAAATCGCACTCTTGTGGGACAAAGTACAGTGGAATCAAAACTTCAGAGATATACTGTCAGTTTTCTCCATGGTAATAAGTGGCTGAGAACCCCATTGTTTTCACTGGTAATAAACTTTACAATTAGCAGCCAGCTCCTGCTGACCAGCCGTGCC